CTGCCCTGGGAACAGAGAGGGACACGTTTGGTGCTGCAGGGAAGCCCATGCTTTGCACAGACCCTCGGCCCTTGGTAATGAATTTATTCCCGTGGACTTAAAGAATCCCTTTTAGTTCCCCAAAGGACTTATCTGCAAACAGGAATTTGGTCTCATCTCTCCTTCAGTAAAAAAAATAAAATAAAATTCAAGTTTGCACGAGCGGTTTGAGCTGGTTTGGGTTATTCTGCACACAGAGAGAAAGACCTGCTCCCACCATCAGTCACTGTCACTTATCCAAAGGGGCAGAGGCATTAACACCTGCTGGTGTTTGCACACACACCTGAGTGTGTGACTCATGGAACTGAGGGACAGTTTCCTTCTGACAAAAAAACTGTCCCCCAAAACGGGTGTCTGCAAAGAAAAGCACAAACCCAACAAAATCTTTCTGCCAGGAGTGAGATGAGCTGTGCAAGTGGAAGAACTGCCTGTGTGCTCACTTCTGCTGCTGGAAAATACCACAGTAACAAATAACACAAACATTCTATTGACAGACTCTCTGTATGGGTCTCCTCCTGTCTTTTATTCCCCAGTTTCCCACCTGGAAAGCACGGATAGACCAAAAGGCAGAGCAGGAAATGTTTCAGCCCTTCCTCCCAACCTTGCAGCCACTCTGAGAGCAGCACATTTCATCCCTACCCTTGTTCTTCACATTCCTTATTACTTACACTTTCTCTGGATGGCTGTGATGAAAGGAATGCTGATGGGAATGTGCTCAACTTCCAGGCCCTGCTCTGTGACGTGATGTAATTTCCCTCTCAATTTCACATTCTTTTCTACAAACTCCACAGGTATATCCAAAGCACTTGTAAACTTCGTTGTCTATTAATGGAAGGAAGAGCAAGACAAAGTTTTACGAAAAAAAAGCAGAGTGATTACAGTCACATTAAATCCAACTTCTTCTTAAGATAGTTTGGGAAATTACAGATCTATTATTAGAGAGCATGGACAAGTAAATATAGATATTTACTTAATAGTGATCAGCTGCAGAGGCTGTGCCAGCCTTTCCACACTCACCAGGTTCCCTGGCTTACAGGACCTGCAGCATCAGGGGGGACATAAAAGCCAGGTTTAGAGAGAGAACAGAAATTGCCATTTTTTGAGCAATGCCTATTGAAGTTCACTTGATGCACCGTGAAAAGAGTGTTTTAGAAGCGGCCTGAATGGTGCTGGGACGAGGTGAAAGGAAGGCAAAGGACAGACTGGCTGAACACAAAGGCAGAGCAGGGAGGGCAGAGACAGCCCCGCCTTCCGTGAGGGAGGAAACAAGGAGAGGGACAAAGGCAGGTGAACAGCTTTGGGAAGATCACAAGGAGATTAAATTTGATACCACAGCACGGGAGGATCCCGAGGGGGTGTTATGTGATCACACAGGGAAACCAAGCCGAGCAGCAGCAAAGACTTGGGCTGTGGCACAGGAATGGAGCGAACACGGGTTTGGGGTGGAGGGAGAAGGACAGGTGAGACCCCCAGAGAAGACACTGAGGTCCCACTGTCAGAGGCCTTTGCAGAGCACTGACCCAATTCTACTGAGCTGTGAAACCCACCGACCTGCTGAGGTACAGCTGCTGGGAACCAAACCCCCAAACACCAGGCTTAAGGAAAAACCTGTCTCCTGTGTGTTATTTATCCAGCAATGCCCCTCTGTGGTCCCTAAGGCCTCCCACCAGGAACACGGGAATTCGGGACCTTGCAGGCAGGAAGCCTGAAGGGTTTTTGGGAACAGAAGCTGTCCAAAGCTGATCTCATCTGTTCTGGAAGCTCCACCACACAGATTAACACCTTCACAGGCCCTTGGGTCAAAACCAACCAACCAAAAACCGGAAAAATATAATTCTGGCAACATTTGCAGTTCATGTTTTCTGGTAGGATTTTAAAGCAGAAACTCCGCACAAAGGTTCTCTTGTAGCCTTTGGAATTGTGCAGAGGGAAGAGGAGGGTATATGTTATTTTTAAGTAGCTGGAACCCTGTGGGAGTGGGGTCACTCCCTGCCCATGGAGGCTCAGCTTCTCCACGCACCGGCGGTGTGGTGTCAGTGCAGCGTGACCTGAGCACTGCAGGGAGCAGAGGAAGATCTGGGTGATGTTTAACAGCATTCAGAGGCAGTTCTGTGCGCGGAAGGACGGTGAGAACGGGCCAGGAAAGTGCTGTGTTTGGACAAGTGAGGGTGCTCGAGCTGCACCGAGGGAGAGGGGAAGGGCCTTCACCCACCCCAGGGGCTTCGGGAACAGGCTCTGGGTGGGAGCACAAGGAGGGGGCAGCTCGGTCGGGCTGTGGAGCTGCTGCACGACAGCGATACCGAGCCCCTCAAGGCTGGAGCCCCCCCAAGATCCGACTCAAACTTTGCCATTGCTTTTTCCAGCTGCCACTCAGCAGCTGCGGCTGGACCGCGTTGTATCAGCGACTGCATCCTGAGCGTTCTGTCCTCGGCTAAACCCTCTGCTTTAGGGAGAAGACAATCCCGAGAGGAACGGGCTGCCTGGAAAGGTAATTCCAGCACGGGGTGGGGGGGTCGCGACCACCGAGCACCGACCCCTGCTCAGAACAGACCCAAGGGAGGGCAGAGCTGCGCCCGCGGACCGAGCAGCACGAGAAGGGAGAGAGAAAACCAACAAACAGCGGCTTGAGCGCTCATTGACGGGAAAGGGATAGCACCTGTAACCAAGGGATGCCGCTAAAACGCACAAATAGTGCAAAGCCTCGAAGATGGCGGAGCGGGGACCCCTTGGAGGGAACCACCCGGAACGGAATAAAACACAGCGATCCCTCAGCTCGGTGCGGGAATCGGAGCTTCCACCGGGAGCGGGCGGGGACAGCGACGGGAACGGGTGGGACAGCGACGGGAACGGGGGGGACGGGAACGGGAACGGGGGGGGACAGCGACGGGAACGGGGGGGACAGCGACGGGAACGGGGGGGACGGGAACGGGAACGCGCCTGGGCCCGGCCCGGCCGAGCCGGGTCCCTCCGGCAGGGTCCCCATCCCAGGGTGCCCACAGCAGGGTCCCTGCCCCAGGGTGCCCACAGCAGGGTTCCCATCCCAGGGTGCCCACAGCAGGGTCCCTGCCCCAGGGTGCCCACAGCAGGGTCCCCACAGCAGGGTCCCTGCCCCAGGGTCCCCACAGCAGGGTTCCCATCCCAGGGTCCCCACAGCAGGGTCCCTGCCCCAGGCCCCCGCCCGGCCCCCGCAGCCCCGCACTCACTCACTCACTCACCAGGCGGACGCTCCGCGCCAGCAGCAGCACCGCGGCCACGGCCGCGCCGGCGCTCAGGCCCTGCGGGCAGAGAGAGGGGGTCAGGGGGGCCGGGGGGGGCTCGGCGGGACCCCCCCGGCCGCCCCCGTTACCCGCAGCAGCCCCAGGTGCGAGTCCGCCCACTCGGAGAGCCGGGCCAGGCCCTGCCCCAGGCGGCCCGGGCCGCTCGGCTCCTCCGCCATGGCCGCGCCCCGGGCGGGCGGGGACGGGGAGGGAGCGGGGCGGGACACGGGGAAAACATCGGCCAGAGCCCCCCCTGGCGCGGGCACGGACACCTTCCACAGGCCGGGCTGCTCCTTCCATCCAGCCCGGCCTTGGGCACTCCCAGGGATCCAGGGGCAGCCACAGCTGCTCTGGGCAACCTGTGCCAGGGCCTCCCCCCCTCACAGCCAGGAATTCCTTCCCAATCTCCCATCTATCCCTGCCCTTTGGGAGTTTAAAGCCATTCCCTGTGTCCTGTCCCTCCATCCCTTGTCCCCAGTCCCTCTCCAACTCTCCTGGAGCCCCTTTAGGCCCTGCAAGGGGCTCTCAGCTCTCCCTGGAGCCTTCTCTTCCCCCGCTTTGAACTCCCCAAATCTCTGACACACTTCCTCTGACCCTGCCAGATGCTCCTTTCTTCTTGTCTTTTTAAGGCTGGGGTTTGTGTTTTATTTTTATTTTATTTTAATCTTAAAGGTGTTTAAGTCCTCAGTAATTGTAATGTTTTTTTTAAAAATCACTTCAAAAGAGGGTTGGCAGAAAAAAGCAACAATATCAAAATTTTACTGCTTCCCTTCAGCAACCTGCTCATGGGCTGGCACAGCACTAACAGTTCTGACTTACAAAGTAGCTACTTAGATTAAAACCACTAATCGATCACTTGTTTCAGCAGTTTGGAAGAATAAACAGTTAATTTAGGTCACATTTCATACATATTCTGACCAATTTAGAGTGTATGTGTAACTTTGACATTGTTGAGATCATCTAATAACTGACAAGCCATCCTCAACCCATCTTTATTAGTAACAAGTTTCAGTGGCACCTTCCGAAAAAGTGAAAAAAAACCACAAAGTAAAAGCCAACTCTAAAAAAAATGGGAATTCAATTTCCCATCTTCTGCACTTGAGATGGTTTTCCTCCAAGGCAGAAAAGTTAAAAATCTCTAAGTATGGACAAGCTGTGATTAAATCAGTGGTCTGTGGTTCCAGTGGGGACACAGAACTGAAGTGCCTCACACGTGGTCAGTGCACTGGAGGTGAGGGGGTTGGACTGAAAGGTGCTGATGTATTTTTATGTTGTCTTTGTGCTTATGCAGAGGAACATTTTCAGCTTGGAGAATAAAAACCATCTGACTTCATTCAGCTTGAGTGATTGTGCTGCACTTGAAACAAACTGTGAGAAGCTGTCACTCAGGAGAGGGGAAGGGACAGGAGTCAGTGCCAGGGAAACACGTGAGCACAGTCCTATTCCAGACCCCTCCTTGCTCCTGATGCCAGGGAGAGAGACCCTTCCAGACCCCTCCTTGCTCCTGATGCCAGGGAGAGACCCTTCCAGACCCCTCCTTGCTCCTGATGCCAGGGAGACCCTTGGTACACACCCACCCGTCCCCTCCAGTCACTCCAAACCTGGGGTTGATTTATGTCCCCCCCCAAACACGCAGTAACAGAAGATCCCCGACCTCCTCCAAGCCCAACACTTCAAATACTGACAAGGCAAGAAACACAGACAGAGACACTGGTGCCCTTCCCAGGGCTGTTTAATAGCGATGCACCATTTACACCCACCGAGGTCCCAGTGCCCTCTCAGCGCGGGCTGTGGGTCACTAAGGCACTCAGGAGGGAGGGCAGGGGGGATAATGCACCGGGAATGTTTCCACCACATGGCATCAGCAGCTCCTGCTGCAGCAGCTCCACCACAGGACTGTGCTCCTTGGATTTCCGTGAGGGTGAGACGTGTCCCTGCTCTCTGGGAATGTGGCGACTTCCTCATCACCAACTCGCTTTTCTTACCCCAGCTGGGAGCAGTCACGGTTTTCCCACGGATTTCGAGAAGGAATGCTCAAATTTTAGTGACACTGGGGAAACCCAACACTACCAGTTCATTCCCTCAAACTCACCCTGCTCCGAAGGCCCTCCCCTGGGAAGCCCAGCACCTTCCAGTTACAGCTGCAGGAGCCGAGGCTCAGAGGATTGTGCGTTACTCCAGTCCTACCTTACAGCATTTTGTCCTCAAGAAAGTACCTTGAATGTAAATCAAACTGCTTTGAAACAGCGGAAATAAATTAAACAAATGTAATTTGTTTATAAAAATATTTTCTTATAAATCTTTAAAGCTTATAAAAGCCAGAAAATACGTTTAAAAGAATCTCCGGAACGTTTCATCCTTTGAGGCGTGGCTACAGTTCAGAAAGTGAGAAGCAAAGCCCACAGGCACCTCACGCTGATCTTCCCACAAGGAATTCCGTAGTACAACACTTAACCTGTGTGTGAGAATGCCTTTGGCATCCCTCCCCCTGGGCCAGCTGGCCTGGCAGGTCACTTCTGTGTGACAGTAAAGCTGGGACTCGGCTGGCAATGCTGCCCCTCGACAGCCACGGCGCCAGGATGGGATCAGCAGTGGTTGTGCCAGCAGCCGTGGCTCTGGGGCTCAGGGAAATGCAGGATACTCAGGGAGGACAGAGGTTGGAACCTTTACTCTCTGAACTGACCCTGGGAGGGCAGTGGTGTCACAGCCACCGCCTCGGCCACGCGCTTTCACTGCTGTGGCACCAAACACCGACGTTCCTGGGGGTGGGATATGGGATGTGTCTCTGTAATAGAACTAAAACAACCTTGCTGGTCCCTCCAACGTTTAAGTGCATCAATTGCTCCTCTTGCACTTCCAGGAAGACTGTCCTTCGTCCTGCAGCTTTTTGAACTTTGGTCCAAGGAGGAACCACCAGCCAAAGCCCAGGATGAGGCAGATGACGGACTCCACGTAGTAACCGTCCAGGGTGGTCACGCAGGAGCCACCAGCCTCTGTGCAGAGCTGAAACAGGAGCACAACCTCAGGCATTAAGCACCTCTGGGAGACACAAACACAGACTTCACAAAGATTAGAGAGCCACTGGTGTCTACTTGCTCTTGCTTCTGACTAAGTATAGTTGTTGACTCTTCCTTGTTTCTTACAGAGGCAGTCAGAGAGGCTTTGGAGCTTATCAGCAGCATGAAAAGTAACAAATCTGTTCCAAAATAATTTGGGAAATGGAGCACACTGGCCCACGGGGCAAACTCCAGGAAACAGAAACTGCCCCACTGCCTCAGACTGGCTGGGAAGTGCAACCACTGGTCCCAATCCCATGGAGAAAGAGGATGATTATTTTTTAACAGCCATCCATGTTACGGTCTCCTCATCCCTGGAAGTGTCCCAGGCCAGGCTGGACAGGGCTTGGAGCAACCCAGTCTAGTGGAAGGTGTCCCTGCCCATGGCAGGGGGTGGAACTGGATGAGATTTAAGGTCCCTTCCAACCCAAACCACTGTGACTCTCTGCTGGGAGAAACACGCCCAGGATGGTTTTTAACCCCCAGCATTTAAAGGGTGAGTGTACAGCACAGGACTGTTTCTGCTATTGTTTGGCTTTCAACACTGCTCTAATCCCAGGATAAATCAATCCCCTGAGCTGAGGCTCTGACAGCACCTTCTGAGACATGTCAAGATCAGATTAGGAATAAGAAGGGAGTGGTGGTGGTGGAATGTTACCAACTGGGAGGATGAGAGAAAAGATCAGAGGAGTGAGGTGAAGGAGGAAGGACTCAAGTTCAGTAGAGGCCCAGGGAACCTAATTAGTGACAAGCTAATGAGGGAGGCTGAAAAAGCACCCGCTGTGGAAGCAGTTTCCCCTCTGCAAGCAGTAAAAACTGCACATCCAGCTCAGACAAGTCATGTTGGATTCCCAGAACACTTTGTTCAGAGAACCTCCACATCCCAAAGAGTCCTGGCATTCAGGAGTGAAATAAATCTCACTCAGGAGCACTCAAAAAACCCCCCAAACACTTCCACTCTTCAGCCACATTAAGTGTCTCATTTGCCACGAGGAGGTGAATTTGAAACCTTGCTTTCCCAGCAGTTTTGTGTCCTGTTGTTTGATCTGTGTACAGTGCACAGCAAGGTCTTTGTTCTCTTCCAGAGGGCTCCCAGGACTGGGAAGGGAGCCAGTCCCACTGCTCCATTCCAGGGGGAAAGTGAACACCAAAGTCAGGGAGCAGAGCAGCATCATGGAGAAGGGATCAAGGCAGGCAGAGAGGAAACCTCCAGGAAGACAGGAGGAAGAAAAACCTACCACAGGAATGGAGGGACTTGGAGGACAGACAGCCCTGCCCAGGACAGAGCCCCTAATTACACAACTCATAAATATACAGAGCATGTGGCACCAGTCTGGTGCTCCTACCACAGCCTTTCATCCCAGCCCAGAAAGAAAGGGGCAACTACCCTGCAACTGCAAATCCCTGGTAAGATGTTGGTCAGTCAGAGTGCACAGACAAAAGCAGACAATTCTGTCAGACGGGAAAATCAGCTCCACCAGTGGGAATTCTTAAGCACGAGCTGTGCACTGTGAAGGTTGTCAAAGGCAAAAAAAACACTCTGAGAAGCAATTTAATTGTGCCACTACTGAGCAGGGCCCTCCAGAGCCCCCAGACTCACCTCTGCAGCTGCTGCAGTGCCACAGGAATGGCCCTGGGCCCCAGCACACTCCTTCACCGTGAGGGGATCCACCAGCCACAGGGCCACGGTGGAGGGCCAGTTGCCCCCCAGGTTGGACACCGTGTTCAGCAGGGTCATGTAGGTGCCCCCGATGAGGGGGTCGCTCACCTTGGCGTTGAAGGCCATGATTGCCACGTACATGCTGTACAGGGTGATCTGGGGGGACAAACACACACACACAGGGCTCTCCACGGGCACCACAGCTCAAACATTCACTGAAAAACAATCCCAACAGCATAAATTGCCCCAGGGAGCAATTCCTCCTGCAGCCTGTCCCTCTGCTGACTGAGGAGTGGCCTTGCCACTCGTCTCAAGTCAGGCTGCATGACCTGAGTCATGTCAGTGCACGTGGGGCACGACTCAGGTTATCAAACTAAAACACAACAAGGTCAGCTAAAATAGCATCCAAACCCAACACTGTTGTATTTAAAATCGACCCTCACAGCATCATACATCCAGTTCTGATCCAAAGCCAGGTTTTCCAGGCCTCTGGATCAGATCCATTGTGATGTTCCTCCAACAAGCCAGCATTTTTTCTAGCAGCAGGATCACATAACTCGATGGATCTGCAGAACCAGCACAGTCATCACTGTGCCTGTCAAACTCTGCCAGAGTGCTGGGGTTTCTCCAGCTCCACTGTGCTTTTTTGAGCTTCTGGCTCTGGGGAAAAAATAACCTGGGAAACAAAGCCAGATCTAGACAACCCAAAGTAGCTCCACGGATGCTGCCCAATGGAGCACAAGGGAACAGGGAGAACCACCACTGGTGGGAGTATCAGAAGGCAATACAGCCACACAGATCAGGCTGGGAGGGCTTCCAGTGAGAGCCAGGACAAGGCAGGTGACAGGATTCACAGTCCTGGAGGTGATGGGTGTGACACACCCCCCTGCCTCCCCTCCCCAGGGGGTGTTACCTGATGCAGAGCGTAACTCAGCACCACCACAGCGTAGTAGTACAGGGGAAACCCTCCCTCGTGCTTCACTTTGGGAGCCCACCACACCAGGAAAGCAAACTCCAGGCCAAGCAGCAACCTGCAGGGGGAAGAAAGAATTAGTACTTCAAATAATTCTTCCCACGTGTTTCCTCAACACGAAGCAGCTAATGAACATTTACAGAGAGCACACTGAAATAGTTTAGATCTAAACAGTTACAACTATTGCTGTCTCAGAATTAGATATTAAATATTTGACAAGCAGTGAAATTGTTAAATAAGAGCAGGAGAGCATTGCTCTAATGGTGCTGTACGTGCATCTTTAGAACACCTTGTGCTCTTCTTTCTCACAGGTGACACTGCATGAATGATCTTCAAGGCACAGGACAGAATCCAGCTCCCTGTGAGAATCCTGACACACTTTCCTGTAGCTGGAAGTTAGAGAGTTACACGAGAAACCCTACACTTGATCTGAATACACAAACTGAACACACAAATTACTGTGTTTCTGTAAAATGAGGTTTTACCTGAAAGGCATGGCTTTGTAGAAGGTGTTCAGGGGCTGGGGGCCTGCTGTGTATTTGCTGATGACCAGGGGCAAGATGATCTGTAAAGGAACCATTGGAACTGCCAGCAGAGCCAGGTGCTCTTTGGGGACCCCCTCCTCCACCAGTTTGAGTCCTGTTACAGCATCTGCTGCTGAAAATCCAACCTGCAGGAGAAATGAGACAAAACAGGCTGAGGAAAGCAGGGAGAGCTTGGCTAGAAATTCAATTTACTGTTAAGTAACTTGAGAAATGGGATAGAGGACAAGTCACTTCTGTCACTGATTTGACTTCCAAATTAGTTCTACATGTTCTACACTTGCACACTCTTATTGTCATCAGTGCCAAAAGCTTCCCAAGAACATTAAGCAGCTCTGCCATTCCTGCCTGTGCCTTCACTGCTGTTGGCATCCACAACGTCCAACAGGGAGCCATGGAAACCCAGTCTGGACACAGCTGCAGATTCTGAGAATAGTATTTGAGTTAAGAGAAACATTTTCTGCCCTTTTAACTGCAGGCTACACAGTCTGTTTGAAAATGTTTTAAAATGTTTAAAAAACAAATTACTGTTATACCAGACTGCAATCAAACTCCTCCTTAATACTTATGTAAACACAAAAGCTCAAACAAACGTTTTCTGCTGTCCAGCCCTGCTCAGCACAATGATACAAACAATCCTGCTTCAAACCCCATGTGAAAATCCACAACTCTGATGCAAATCAACAGCAGAACTAAGAAACAGGTTCCATCCCGGGGACTCAGCAGCCTGCCAGACTCTGACACCAGCATTTAACAACCCAAAGATGTATTTATTTACTTACTTTGGACGTGAGGATCAAGAGACAGAAGGTAAGAACTGCTGGCATCCTGATTATTGAGAACAGCAGCTTGTATGTATCAGTGATGCCTTTTGTTTCTTCCTTTGCTGGTATCAGCTCCTTGTTTTCCTTTTTCAAAAAGGCAACCAGTGTAGTGGTAACTAAGAAGACAGCTCCCCAGAAAAACAGGAAATCTGGAGGGGAAAATACAATAAGATCAAAAAAACTTTGTAGCAGCCTTCATTGACAATTCACTGAGTACCAAAAACGCAGTTATTTTGCTAAATATAAACCTGATCATCAAAATTGAGTAAAACCAAGCAGCAAAAGCAAACCACAAGCACAGTGGGTGACACAGCTCTTCCCTCAGCAGGAATGAGGTGTTTGCTGGAGCTGAGGCAGAGCAGCAGCAGCAAACAGGGTCCCTTCCCTGGTGTTTGCGGGGTTGGTACCACAGTGAGCACGTTGCAGGAGAAACAGAAACACAAATGGAAGCCTTGAAGGCTCACACATGCAACCACTAAAGGCTGATGAAGGACGTGGAATAGTTACAAGGCAGGGAAAAACCTGCAGAGGAAAACTCCTGCCCAGCTCTGCAGTGATTTATGGGTACTCATGGAGCTGTTCTGTGCCTCAGGGCCACACTCCCTATCCAGCATCTATCTCCCATCTGGAGGAAACAAAGATCTGGGAGTGTGAAGATGGCCCGATGACAGTTCTTCCAGTCATGAGGAGCCCTCAAACACATCTGGCTGATGTGGATCCTTGCCAAGGTTCAGGTGCTCTGTTTTAAAGAGAGCCAATATCTGGTGAATCGTGGGTGTGAGGGCAGCAAGGGTAAAACACAGCAAGCAGTGCTTTTTGAGTTAGTGAATGGTTAACCTAAGAAAACCCTGTCCTCTACCTCCAGGAGAGAGGCAAGAAAGAACTCAGTAACATGCAGAGGGCAGGACAGAAGCAGCCTTTAATCTTCCTGGTCACAAGCAACCCCAGGAGCCTCCGGGAGACTTGAAAGGGAGCAGTGAGGGCTGGTGAAAGGGCACAGGTTTAGTCAATTATTACCTGCTTCTTATGCCCAGGAAGAGAACAAGAAAATGGGGAAGGACTGCTCTAGGTGTCTCCACCATTCTCAGGGTAAAAGAAAAAAGGCTTTTCAAACCAATTTTTTGCTGCTTCCACACCAGCTACTTTTCCCTTTCCTAAAGAGCTCATAACCAATGCTGTCAGATTCCTCTCTGCTAAAAAATGGGTGCCCTTAACACAAATGTTGAAGCAAGGATGCGTTTTCAGAGTGTCTCACTAATCACAGCAGCTGGCAAAGAACAGAGGAGCAGCCCTCTAACAACAACCCTGGGCATTATCACTGCAGTGAGAGTTGCACAGCGTGAGGATGGGATAGAAATAGCTCTGAGCATCATCACATGAGCACTCTTGAGCAGGTCAGCCCTGTCAGCTGCAGCACAGCACTGCAAGGGCTGCATCAGCAACAAAGCAAGGCACGAGAAAAAGAAAAAAAAAACATATATAATAGTCCACATTAAAAGAATGGGGTTTCTTTGAGGTTGTAGGCAGTTTACACAAAAATAAGGTTAATTTCCCTTCAAATACAGTAAGCTTCACTAACAGGCTACAAGCAAAACAACTTTGAAATTATAGTTTACACAAGGGTTTTCAAGCACAAAATTTTCTGGTCCCACCACTGCTTCCTCCCCACCCCGATTTTGTCTCTGCCCCTACACTGTTGTTAACAAAATAAACCACTGTGATGGGGCAAAACGGGTTTTTGAACTAGCTCAGGGATGGATCAGCCTGGAAAACAACCATCCAGAAGGTGCCCAGGGGCAAAGGCACACACCTCCTCCCAGGAGAAGGGCCTGGCCCGGGTCAGTGTGGGCTGCCTGCCTTCAAGGGGCACCTTTGTCCTGTGCTCACACTTCCCTGTCCTCCTTCATGCTGGAACAGGCTCTCCTGTGACTGCAAAGCAGGCAGGAATCACCAAACCCAGCCAGCAACCTGCCCCTGCCTTTAAAAACCCAAAAGTCACCTGACCTGCAGGTGCTGAATAAACTCCTGGACGTGCCAGCACAAACCATCAGCCCACAGAAAGGTTATCTCCCATTTCCTTCTCCAGACCTTTATCCTGAAACAGCCCTACAGAGCACTTGGTTTGACGGATGGTTTTACATTTGTCCACATTATTTCCTAAAGTTCATGAGAATAACAAATGCTGTTGCTCCTCAACAACTCGAAGGTGACTTGGGATCACAGAATATCCTGAGCTGGAAGGAACCCACAAGGATCATCAGCCCAACTCCTGGCCCTGCACAGACACCCCAACAATCCCACCCTGTCCCTGAGAGCGTTGTCCAAACCCTCCTGGAGCTCTGGCAGCCTTGGGGCTGTGCCCACTGCCCTGGGGAGCCTGGGCAGTGCCCAACCACCCTCTGGGGGAAGAGCCTTTTCCTGACACAGCTCCAGCCATTCCCTCGTGTCCTGTCACTGGTCACCAGAGAGAAGGGATCAGTGCCTGCCCTTCCAGATCATGGAGTGTTGACTTTTCTTTCCCTGGCACCGGGCTCAGCCTACGACAGAAGTGCTCAGAGATCTGAACTGGCAGAAAACTACTCACTTCTTCCATCTGTAAAGTTTTCTGCTGCTTTACCTGCCTGAACTTGCTCATCCCAACCCCTGTTCCAAGCAGAGCAAGGACCAGAGAGCCCCTCTGCTCCTCAGGGAGCTGGTTATGGTTATGTCCTGCTGCTCCTCAGCTGCTTCAGGGAAACACAGACACACCAAACTGTGCCACAGGCACACAAAACAGGGAATGGGAGCTTCTTACAGGCAGTTTTATCTCCTAAAAAAACAATATCCTGCAACCAGAGTGTCAGTTGTTTGTCCTTCTCACTCCAGCCACGTCAGCACTCCAGGACAGGTCAAGCAGGTTGCGTTGGTGCTTTTTGGGTTTGGGATTATATTTTCTAAAACCAGCATTTCTGTAATAGTAACAAATCCACTCATACAAACAGTGCTGAGAAAAAAAAGCCCCAAACAACAAAACCCCTGGGCAGCGAGGGAAGTACAGCCAAGCCAAGCTCTCTGAACACCAGTGACTGCAAGTTGCATCAGCATGAAGACGTCAGTGTGCACTGCAGAGAGAGGGAAGAGACAGGCCAGCACTGAGGAGATGCACAGCAGGAGCACAGGGAAAGCCAGGAACCAGCTGGGATGGCAAGGACTGCTCTATGGCCACTGACAGACACCACACAGGAGGCTGGCAGCAGGAAGGGAAGGGGAACACTAGTTAGCAGTGGTGATGCTGCACAGACAGGGTAAGCACAGCAGTCTTGGAAACTGCTGTCCTGGTTTATCCATGGGACAGGGACAGGACAGAAAGCAAAAACTACCCTTTACACGACAATTCCAGCCCGGTTTGGCATACCTGTTCCCTGGGATGGCACAGGCAAGGCAATCAGTGTGAGAGAGGGAAAAGAGACTAAAACCATGAGAATCTGCCCTTCACCACCCTGAGACTGCAGCCAGAGGCATCCCAGGATCTCCTGTCCTCCCCCAAGCTCAGCTGGCTAAACTGGACCTTCCAACCAAACCAGGTGCATCTTTCAGGTAATATCCCTAACATCAACCACCACACAGAACCCTGCTGGGAAAAACCCCCAAACAACCCAAACACCAGCAAATAGAAGCATCTCTACACTAACAGCTAGTTATGGATGGATTACCAGACTTCATTTAATTCATTAAGAACAAAATTCCTGTTAATTTACTAAAATAAGGCCTTCCTTCAGAAAATGGCTATTTTTCGGAATATGCTCAACCCCAAGCACTTCTCATTTCTACCTCTGTGCATGTTGGAAGAATGAAAATATTTTTAGTTTCCCCTTTCCTTCCTCCCAGAAGGAGATGTTCATAAAAGGGCTCCTTAAAAAGAGGCAAAGCTTTTGGCTTGTTGGAGGTTTTTTTAGAGTAATCTTGTCCATGGCCACTAGACCAGGAAGGGGAAAAAAACAATCCCTCCAAAGTGCTTAGGTCAGCCAAGATAATGACAAGGCAGGTTTCCCACAGCCT